CAATGTGCCATTTTCTTTATTTTAAGTTTACAATCTAATTAGGATTTATGGTTTTTTTCTTTTCTTTCTTCTTTTTTTTTTTTTTACCTTTTTCTGAGAAAAAATGTAAGATTAGGGTTGTTCAGGGAATTTTGTACCATTTTTTATCTTGCCTCAGTCAGTTTTTTAATGGGGAGGGTTTGTGTGTTATGGAGGTGTGACCGTAATATTTCAAATCACAGGAAGCGTAATAGTAATTTGGCGAAAGCACAAGGGGGCAAATGTAATTAACCCTTACCCCTTTTGACAAATAATAACCGCAAACTTGATTTAAATGTATTATCCTGCATTAACAGTGCTACCTAGGATAAGCCAACCGAGAGGGATGAATAAGTTGATATGCTTATGTTGTGTTTGGATCGCAGTTTTTTAAGTAAAATTTTTTTACATATTTTGTAAATATATTTTTTAATTATATTTTTTGATTTCACATACATTAAATTAAATTGTTACACTAAAATTTTTACAAAAAATTCAAAAAATAGCAATTCAAATGGGTTCAAATAGCTTAACCTTTCCAACACACACTCGAGTGCATGTCTTTCGATAGAGAAAAAATGTTAAAAATCTTAATATATGTCTTTCAATAAAAAAAAAATCTAAAACTCAAAGATAGATAGACATCTTCTTCTTCTTTTCTTTTTTTTTTTGTGTAAGCGAGAGGACTCAAACCTAGACCTCTTACTTACATTTCCTCTCCCGTACCATCCAACCCATCCCTACTCCTCAAATCTTACGCCTTCTACTCCACGTCTTTCTGTGAGAAAGAGAAGGGTCAGATTATAAATTGATGGTGTAAGAGTCAAGAGTGAAAGGCGCAAGTGACAAAGTTGAGTGATTAATGGTATGTCTAGCGGCTTGAACTCGAAAATTTTATCTCTTTTTTTTTCACGATATAGTTAAGCACTATTATGATTATATATGTGACTACTTCCAAGTTCATTTGGTGCCAAATTCTCCAATATTTTATATTGTTATGTAATGAGAATTGTAAAAATATGATTTTTTTAGTCCTTATGTAATGGAGAATTTAAAAATAAAATTTTTATCCTATCTCTAGGGAATAAAAAACCTAAAATTTTGGATTTTACCTTTTTACTATGTAATCTACTGGACCTTCAAGTTTCGCTTGTTTATCATGCATTCCATTGACTTTAACAGCTCCAATAGATGGAAAGGTCAGAAGTATGCATGTTAATCGATAGAGTTTTGATTGGATTTAATTGATTCAAATCCAAACCTGCTAAATTTATTTTGTCTAAATAGAAAATTTAGACCCGACCTCATAAGTTTAGATACCCATGAGTATCTTTTAATTTATAATAAAAATAAATTCCAGACAATAAAACATATGAAATCCAAAGATAATAAAAATAAATACCAATTATCACTTTCAATAATAATATACATATACATACATGCATGCATGCATATATACGTACGACACACACATTACACGTTTATGCATTCAACATTTAAACTTGCATGTTTTTTAATTTCATATACTCTTTTTTTCATATAAATTATAACCAACTTATCAGATGAATTCACATATCCACATTTTTGCCTCTTGCATTTAGATACTTTTTCAAATGAGTTTCACTCTTGCTAAAAAAAAATTAACACTTGCTACTCTCTTAATAAGTGTTCAAAATTAACACCTGAGGCTATCCCAAAGCTCAATAGATTGTAGATTTGGGCACAAAATATACAAAATTAGACCTTACCCAAATTCATGATTTTTTTTTCACAATATTTGAATTCGACAGGGTTTGGATTTGAAAGTTGAATCCAAATCCAAGAAAAAATACGATGATATAGGTTGGGTCTAGGTAACATTTGACCTTTAGTGAAAAGTATAACTTGTAGAAATTGGGAGTTAAAAATAGACAAATAATTGTTGGAAAACTAAAAGCGCACAGACATAATAGCTTGAGGGCCAATTAGACATTTTGCACAAATTATTGAAGGCTGCGTTTGATTCAAGGGATTTGGTTATGAGGTATTTAGATTTGTAAATTATGAGGGATTTGGTTATGAGGTATTTAGATTTGTAAATTATCAATTTAAAATATGTTTTAATAATTGATATATTTTTTGATGAATGTTAATAAATGGGAAATTTGCATAAACCTCCCCTGAGGTTTTTGACACTAGCACTCACCTCCCTTATGGTTTAGAAAATAGCACTTACTACCCTTGAACTTAAGTATTGTGTTGCAGATTCAGTCCATGCAGAAAAGTTACCATTAAATTTTTTTTTTAAGAGATGAGATGAGAAATTTATACCATATTTGCCCTTCATGCTGCTTGCCAAGTTGTATTAATAGAGGAATGACAAGATATGAAAAGTTATTAAGAATTAGTAAAATTCAAGGGGTATCACTAACGGTTAATTAAATGACTATATATCTAACTTTTTGCAGCAAAATTTATAAAAAAAAATACATGTCACTTTTAAAACTCTCTATTAGTAATGTGAATAGCTATTTATGGAGGTAACACAACTGCTTATATTGTTAGCTCCAATCATATACAAAAAAAAAAAAAAAATCACTGAACAATTAGCTAATTAACAGCAAACTTAAACATCACTAAAAGTTACTGAACATGAGATAAGCCTAGTTACAAGTAATTAGAAGTGCATATTAATAAGATAAAGTTGTTTTTAATTAATGAAAACTATAGTAATTGCATTGAAACCACGTACTAAAACTGTTGCTGCTGCTGATATTTCCAAATTACAGAGTTATAATTGTACTAATGGAAAGAGATGTAGCAATTTGAGAAGAAGTAGTAGGCTAAATTAGATGAGGTTTAGAAATATAAATGACTTGAACAGATACATTTGTGTAAATTCTCTTTATACTTTCTTTAGTAGATCGGATTGCTTACTAGCCTTTCTCTATGTAGTTGTATAAAATTAGATTTAAATTGATTGATTTGAAAAACTAATATATAAAAATGTACGCCGTTTTCTCCCTCAATTGGCACCATTCCTTAGTTTTGCTTACAATGGCTAACGATGCTAAAACTCATAGGTAATCTAGTTTAATTAGTCACTCAATTTGTTGACAAAAAATAAATTTTCTTTTCTAAAATTTGTTCATTAAGTTTCTGCAATTAGTTAGGGTATAAAAGTAAAATCATACAATTTATTGTTAGTAATAGGTCCAATTTCCACCTAGGGGAGGTTAGTGCAATTTTAGAAACTATAGGGGAGGTGAGTATTAGTGTTAGAAACTTCAGAGGAGGTTTCTGCAATTATCCCTCAATAAATCCTACGAAGCCCGAGGGTTAGATTGATCAATTTTAAGACGGAGGGAATGGGAAGGGGGGATTCGAAGAGAGAGAGAGAGGGAGAGAGAGAGCGAATTTAGATTCGGTGCGGTGAAGCAGAAGAGAAATTTTGAGCAGGAATACTTAGAACACAAAATCAAACAGAAGACAAGACGAGTGTCGTCAGTTCTGTGGTAATGCCAAGTTAGTATATTGGTTTGGAGAGTAAACAGTAGTGCAGTGCAGTAACTGGGGCTGGTGCTGGTAGAGGCAAAGGGATTGATCAATTTTTGAAGGGAAGGCAAAGGGATGGGATGGGGCATGGTGATATGCGAGGGAGTAGTGGCGGTTGGATCGTTGGTGCTGTTGGGGTGGGCTGGACTGTGGTTCCTGAACCGCCGGCTGTACAAGGAGTACGAAGAGAAGAGGGCATTGGTTCAGATCATTTTCAGCGTGGTCTTTGCCTTCTCCTGTAATCTCTTTCAGCTCGTCCTCTTCGAGATCATTCCCCTTCTATCTAGGGAGTAAGCAACTCGCCACCCTCCTACTAGTCTCGCTCTAGTTCTCCCCCTCCTCCTTATTATTATTATTTTTTAATTTGCTTGTTTGAAAGGGGGGAAACGAAAAAAAAAAAACTAGGCTCTCCTCTCTTTCGTCCTGTTCCCGTGATCACGTCCAACTAGCTTCACCAGCATCATTGTGCGCTTTACAATTATTTACATACCAATAATCAATCTTGTTACTGAAACTTGTTTCCACTACACTTACTATTCTTCTGGGAACACAAGTGTTGTGGCTGGGTTTTCATGGTGGTTGTTTGGTTCAGTTGGACTCAACTCCTTATTCTCTTCATCGTGCGCCTCAACCTTACCTTGCTTCTCCATGCTCTTTTATGTGTTTTTGCCAAAGACTATGGGTTCGTTTCTACCTTCTTAATTCTTGACTTGTGAGATCAAGGCTGGGAAAGAAGGAAGCCCATTGGTTTCTTTCTGGATAATTTTGGTGCCCGCTATCAATAAGAGTTACTCAATTGCCCAAGGGTGGACATTATCATTTCTGTTCAGATATTGTTCACTTTAGCAGCTGGACATTTGATATTTTGACTCCTCCTGCTAGCATTTGCGCTGAAGTTCAGGTTGTATTTTGAGCTCTATTTACCAATGGGCTGCTAAAAACATTTAGTATGCACTTGAGTTTGGTCGAGTTGCCTCGTTAGATGTCAAACTCCCAAACTCACTTCTGCTTCCAAAAGATATCATAAGCCAGAACTGCAATCGTGTTTCATGGTAGATTGTGTCTGTTAGATGATTTAAAATGTCTGTTGTTGTGTGTTCGCGATAGTTAGTGGCTGCTGCTGCGTCATAACTTCTGTTAACTCCATGACCAGTTATCATGAATAAACTCCTTGTTCCTTTGTTTGCCAATGTAAATCTTTTGCTACACTATATGTTTTTATGTTGAACTTGCAGTCATATTTAGACAGCACATTGCTATGTCAAGGTATGAGCATGAATATACCGTGGAAATACGACATCTTATTACTTCACTGTTTCTGCTTTCCAGCTCCTTGTGAGGATGCTGAACTAACTCATAATTTTACATCGACAAGCTACTTTACTAGATTTTTTATTTTATTTTATCTTTTTATAGTTATCTGATAATTTGTGTTCTATTGTTTGTAGGGCCAGGTGGATCAATTGGAAGGTTGACTTGTTTTGCTTGATCATGTTACTGGTTTTCATGCTACCTTATTATCATTGTTATTTGATGCTTTGCAACAATGGTGAGTTGCTTTTGGCTCGTTGATTTTTCAAAGGAGTCTAATCTCTATGCTTCTGCTATGCTTTCTAAATCTGTTCACCTATTTGGTGGATTTGCTGGTTTGCATAGGCTTGGAGATTGAGATTTTATCAGGTTAACATGTTTAATCCTTTTGCTCTGTTTTCTATTGGCGTAATATCACCCATCAAATGATTTAGGTCTATGTTCCAATTCACCTATTTTATGATGGAGTAATTTGCAGAAGCCTGATATTACCTAGGTTTGGTCTGACCTGAGATCCAGTTAGTCCATTTTTGTTTTCCTCTTTTTTTCTGTTTTCTTCTAAAGGTTTTCTTTGCGTCCCCATTCTCATTTCTCCTCAATGTATGTACAATGTTTACATAAGTACAAAGATACAAGTATGTGTATTGATCCTTGTGTGGATATGTACGTGCGCATATTTAAGTGGAAGAAACAAGGTAATATGATGAAGGATAGATTGAAAAGGAAATAGGAATATTGGGTAGAAATGGCCTTCATACATGTAGTATCCCCTTAAGCAGCAGTACTTGTTTCATGTGTTGGTAGCCTGCTACTAGCAAAGGAGAACTTCTGAACTACTGGAGGCTTGGTAAATAGATACAGCATTGCATTTTATTTTCCTTGGTGAAGATTTTGTATCGTTATGTTGCTTCTTTTTGTTACTTAAGGCAAAATTCGTTTTCTATGGTGCTAGTGGAAGAATGAGAGAAACGTTGCGTGTTCCGGAACTGTGAACAGTAATGTTGCCTGTTCATGGAACTGTTATGTGAACAGTAACGTTGGAAAATGAGAGGGGATTTACAAACTATAAAGACTCATAAATCTCCTGTTAAATAGGAAAGTAAGCTAGCGAAGAACTTTTTAGGAACTTCTCTTTAACTATGACTCCAATGAACAGACCAAAGTACCCTTAAGACCTATAATCACAGAAACTACTAAAGGCACTTAATGTATTGTTGCTTGCAATTAGGCTCCTAATCTTCAAACAATGCCTAGTTGAAGCTTGAGGAAAATCATGAAGATATTTAATTATAGTTTTCCTTTGAACTCTTTGTTGATTGCATCATTCTGGTTGGAAACTCTGGCCTCGAGTTTTGAGTTTTGAGTTTTGAAGTATTGCAGGATAAAGAACTGGAAGATCTGAAGCGAGTTGAAAGGAGAACTGAAATTCTGAAAACTTCTCTTGCCATTTATTTGAGGGAGTGACATGAAAAAGTGGGACTTCATTGGCTGAATATCTGGTCTAGGACAAAGTCAGTTGTTGGAGCTGATAGATTAGAAAACTTTTCTCGGCTTTGCTGCTGGACTTGCTGAATCCTTGATGCTGCCATGACCTTTTTCATATGTTCTGATACAACAAAAGCATTCTCTTTGTCTGAAACAAAGCCTTCCACAGACTTAGTTTTTGGAATTTCCATCACCAGGAATAATGTAGTCAACAAAGAGTTCAAGGAAATCTAGATTAAAGATTTTCGTAATCTTCAACTAGGCATTGTTAATTTAGAATCAATAGCCAAAACTTTAGGATTATCAGCTTTGACAAGAGGAGCATTAACCAGATTCCTGCTTTCTATCCTTTCTGGGTGTTGGATAATTGGACTGCAAATGGCATCACGACCTGATTTTGTTCTACAAAATTGCAAAACTGCCAACTTGGTGTAGAAGGTTCCCAGACATTTTGGGTTGGATATAGTGGAGTAAACCTTGACACATACCCTTCCTCTGATGTGCTGCTTTCGGCAAGACCATACAACTCTCCAAACAGCTTTTGATGACAACAAGAGGCAAAATACTACAAGAGTACTTCTCTCGTCTCCCCCCAACAATTTGTTACTCAAATCTCTTTCAATTGTTACTCAAATCTCTTTCAAGTGTAGACCACCACAGCTTAGCCCTTAAAACACTTTAGCAAGTAGGTTGTATTATAATCCATGAGATTATGGTGGTTAAAGTAAAATTCTAGAGAAGCAACATCTGCTGGATATCGTAGGACGACCTAAGCCTTCAAAGGAAGAAACAAACATCATGATTTTTTTTCTGCTAAAGCTAGAAGGCAAGATCCCATCAATCTTGTCTACATCAGTTTGGTATCAAGAGCCCAAACTTTCTTCTTCTTCATCAGTCATATTTCCTTCTTCCATAAAGTTTGATTTTCAAGAAAATCAACCATATTTATGGAAGAAGGAAATATGACTGATGAAGAAGTAGAAAGATTGGGCTCTTGATATCAAACTGATGTAGACAAATTTGATGGGATCTTGTCTTCTAGCTTTAGCAGAAGAATGAGAGGGTGAAGAGTATCTATGAATACTAATGCTGGAATAAGAGGGGTAGAGAAGGATATTTAGAGGGAAGGAGGAAAACAACTACCAAAACAAAATTCAATAATTCTTATTCACTGAATTCTATCTGCTAGAATAATGTAGAAGCATAAGTACTTATAAATTGTAAAGCTTCATAAATCTCCTATTTCCATATTCTACATAGAAAATTAAACTAGTGATGAACTTTTTTAGGACTTCTTCTCTAAAGATGGCTCCAATTACTTACTAATATAATATGAAAACTAAAAAAAAGACTCAAACTACACAGTAAAGACAATTAACATATCATTGGTCCGGTGACCAGGGAGGGTTCTTATAGCCATCCCAACTGTCAGGTTTAGGGTTTGAATCTTGTGTCTAGAGTTGAGGGTGGGAAGGAAAGAAAAAAACAGTTGCTTCTAATCAGGCTGATCTTCAAACAATGCCTAGTGAAACTTGAGGTTAGTGACAAAAACTTTACTTCTACATTTCCTAATTCTTTGTTGACTGCATCACTATATACAAGGAAATGTTTTGTGGTTAACAGTTTTAGGGGAAGCGGACATTGTGTGGGAATGTATTAAAAGGAAAATTAATTTTGCAGAGGGCATAGATATGGATAAAAATGTAGTTGTTTTACTCTGATTGTAAAGGTTCTGAGCTTTGCTTGGTTGAGCTAGGATTTAGTATGGAAAACCTTGATAGTTACAAATTTGTTGGATGGAAAATGAATCCACGTATGTTGAATATGTTTTATCGTTTGTACATTTACCGTTCTTCATAATTATGTATCCCAAAGTACCAGCATAATTGAATACTCATTGTTTTCCATGTGCAAGAGTATAGTATATTGGTAGACGTGAGACATGTATCTTCTAATTGCAGTATAAATAAGCCTCCAAGCAAGTTGCTGTCTATCTGAGATGAATGAACCAAACATGCACCTGTATTTTTTCCTGAATTAGATCTATTTCAGGTTTGAGAAAGGAACGGGCTGCACTTGGTGCAATCTTATTCTTGTTTGCTTTCCTCTATGCTTTTTGGCGCATGGGCATCCACTTTCCTATGCCTTCACCTGATAAAGGTTTGAACTTGTCTAAACCCTCAAAATTTACGTAGTAGATGGCAATATCTCTACTCTTTCAACCGCTTTCTTGTCCGTGGACCTAAGTAGTAACTTGCATTTCTTGTTTGAAGTTCAAAATGTCCATCCTGTAATGCATTGATGTCCATCCTGTAATTTCACTGTTGGTTTGCCAGTTAGTTATGTTTCGAGAGCTTTGCTAAGGACTAGTTTGGCATAAAACAAGGTTCTCCCCCATGGTCTCCAATATATTTACTGACCATACTTGTAATCTTTGAAGGAATTGTGATCTTAGATTGCTAAATTTTTGGTGAGTAATCAAAATTCGTTTTTGGTTGCAATAAGTAAAGGTACCGTCTCCCTGCTCAATTTCTGCTGCTGTCCTTCATTTACATTGGTGCAAATAAGTGCAATGTCAAGAAGTAAACCTCTCAATGTCAAAGCTGATTATTCTTGTGTTAGTATCTTTCATAAATGATATTTTTTTTCTTGCTAGTTGGCTTCGAATGGAGCACATATCTACCTGACCACCACGCTCTGAGTTTCAAATTTGCCCATTATTAATGCAATACATGCATCTCAAGCTATGTGGGACGATTCAACTGTAATTACTGGATTTTCTGCCCAAGTTCCCCTCCCCTCCTCTGTTTTCACTTCTTAATTCAAACATGTCAGCTCTATTGCTCTAGCTTTGGAACTATTGTTCTTTATTTCCACTTTCAAATGTTTTTGGATCAAAAGCTTAATTCCATAAAGTTTGTCCTTTAACTGAGATTCCTATATGTTTCATCATTTTATGTTTTGGGTTTATTTGGAGGCTTACCTACATATCATGCTTCTGATTTCTGATACAGAGTTTGTATAAGCATATTCCCATGCTGATCTTGCATGGCTCTGTGGCTTTCTATCATACTATGTCTTAATATCTCCTACCAAATTTTCTTTCTTTTTATTTGCCATCTTCCTTACAAGAATTTTGTCCCTCAGGTTTCTTCACCATGCCTCAGCTGGTGAGTAGAATTGGGGTAATTGGTGTCACTGTTATGGCTGTCCTTTCTGGTTTTGGAGCTGTAAACTTGCCATACAGTTATTTGTCTCTCTTCATTAGGTAAGATAGAATTGTGAATATTCTTATTGCAATCTTTCAACCATAAATTGACCATTAGGCCATGTTTTTGATGGTGCCCTCTTAATTATGACCTTACTAGTGCAAATCAATAACCTTCACTGACTTCAGACATGGTATAGATTCAAGAGTTCTTTTAGATTATAGTCTCAGTAAATTGTTCTAAAAGCTTATGTTGTTAGTGTTAATTCATTGGCAATTACATCAGTCTTTTGTAAATTTTGATTTCTGTATTTTCAACTTCTTTTTTTGCATCTACTTGTCAAATCTTTATTTGGATATCCTGGTTGCATTGGGGTCCAGAGACAAGCTTGCTTATCTATATTTTCCTAAATGTGTTATACCATACAGTTTTGGCAGCGAGTTGCTATTTTTTTGCTGCATTACTGTAGTAGGCCAACTATTGGGAACTTTAGTTATGAGACTCCTGAAGCCATAAATAGTGTTTGAGAAACTCAAGGCACTATTTTTTGATTTATAATTTTGCCAGCTGTACCGCCAGCATAAGCAAATTTGCTCCAATTGGGATTTTTAGGGCAGGGATCTAATGGGCTGAAATAGACTTACTTTTATTTAACATCAGCTAGGTTTACTATCGTTTTGCACATATATGTAGATGGTACAAGTAACATAATGATATCATACAAAGAACAAGTACCAAAATATATCTGGGGTTATTTACATGCATTAAAAGTTATGTACCAAATTCTATATGTCTTTGTGCACCTGTTCTTCGTAGCGATTTGCATCAGTATTGAGGGTTTAATACTATTTTTAATTAATACTGTTGTCTTTATTCTTGTTCTTAATGAATGAAGTTGGGGTTTCAAACTTTGAGGTGTAAATTATAGATATCGACTTTTACTGTAATCGAGTGGCATGGAAAAATTCAAAAGTAGCAGGAAGTTGAAGTCCACGTATCCCTTCATTAGTGTTCCAAAAAAACTAAAGAGAAAAGAGGAAGTGCGGAGACCTAGATCAACGTCTTCTTCTTCTTGTTCCTTTGACACTTATTGCAGACATGGTTCTTCTTCTTGGCTTGAGCTCAAACAACTAGTATGAGAAGTTTCTTCTTTCCTTCTCCATTCCTTCTTGGAGATCGTGTCCATGATTTTTGCCCTCTCCGCAGCTAAGTAGCTGACTAGGTGTCACCGAAGGTTTAGCTCTTACAGGTACAACTATTGCTGTAGAATCTGCTTCATCATTCTTCGTGGCTAACCAGAGCCCTGTTGTGCAGCTATGTTGAGGGCTTGTTTTCTACCTTGAGCCGCCCAACTGTCAATTCTATGGCTACACTATGCCATGAAGCCTAACTGAAAGCTTGACAAGGCCTGTTTTTGTATTTTCACAGTCCAGTTGTTCCTAATTAAGTGAATGATTTCGTCATGGTCCACAAAGAAGCTTTGAGACAAACTTTTTAAGTCCCTGTTGCCTAGGCTCCCAGTGCTTGGGAGCTCACGGTTGACGTTCCCCTTTTTTTGGGGCTCCTGTTTCTTTCTTCCTTTCTTTTTTCTTTTCGTTTCTTGACTAGAGCTAAAGTCTGCGTTGTGAAGATTGACTTTGACTTCGATGTTATGTAGTTATATATTTAAAATTAATTAAAAACTCCTATGTTGATGGTATGTTTAATGTTAACTTAGGTATCATTCTTATTTATCTTTTCACATGGGTATGGCACTTAAATTTGTGCCCAAACAGCCAAATCTCATGTAACAAAGTACTTTGAGGAATTACTTGGAGATAAATCACGAAGAAGAATCTCAAACATTTACTCCTGATCTTTTCAGACTATGAGGATTAACTGTTTTTATTTATTTTACATCCTTGAATTATTAGGTCAAGAGGGCATTTTTTGTAGAAGCTGTTTATCTTTTCATCTTTTGTCTGACCCACCAATTAGAAGATTTGTGTTTAAGCCTGAATTCAAATTTTGGGTTAGAGCACTTTGAAAACTAGAGTGTCCTCTTCTTTGTGGTCCTGTCATTTCTGATGTATTTTGTTCAGTAGAATGCCGATCTAATTTTACTGGTGGAGCATTTTTGAAAGAATTTTGTGCTTAAAAGTTAAAGCTTCAATTCCCTTTCTCAGAGCAACTTCCTACCAGAATGCTATCTACAGGATCATGAGGCTGGTGATGCTATGAGTTTCTTGTCAATAATATGAATAGCTCTTTGTGGGGTCATTCCACTAGAGGGCTTAATAGAGCACAGAATTGTTCATCCAGTTTCTATCACTACTATAAAAAAATTCTGGTCTATGAAACTTACTAGTTTTTTCATCCGTGAAAAGAGAGATTGAGGAATCAGAGATTAAGGCTCTGGAAAGACAACTTATGCAGTCAATTGAGACTTGCATTGCAAAGAAAAAGAAGATTATTCTCTGTCAAATGGAGATGGAAAGAATACAAGGGTCAGAAGAGGTACTCTTTTCTCAGCATCTGATATGATCTGTTAAAGTTCTTTTTCCAGTTTCTCTAACTTGGCAGCTACAAAAAAAATTAATGGTCTGACACGGTGCATCTCGCCTTTACTCTCTCAGTTAAATAAAGGTCATAGTGGCACAAGTAATAATAGTTGGTTGAGGTTAATGAGGCATCACTAATTGTTTTTTCTTTATAAACCATTAATTGTATTATTATATGGTCTGAGAGCATTTTACTTTTTCAGGGGTTTTTTTCTTTTTTTTTTTTTGGGGGGGCGGTGGTGGTGGTGGTGTTGGTGTTAGTAAATTGCATTTGGACACATGTAACCCATTAATAGTACAGTTGCTTTTGGTTTGACAACTGTTTTTTTAATACTACATAATGCTTTGGGAGGAAGAAGCTGAGGATGATATATTGTAAGCTTGATTTTTCAATATTCTTTGTCTAAGCTTTGTCTTTAACATTTCTTAAAAACTGTATCTATTGCAGAAATTAAAGGCTAGATCCATCCTAAAGAGAATTGTGGGAACAGTTGTTCGATCAGTTCAAGAAGACCAAACAGAACAAGGTCTGTATTTGTTGAGTTTCAGGTGATGTATGATTTTCATCTTAAAACTATCGCTGAGAGTTTTTGCTTAAAACTTCATTGATGATAATCTTATTCTTTCCTGCCTGTGTTGATGTTGGCCTGTGTTTTTCCTGAATTCTTTGCTTGCCATTTGTTAGTTGCTAGTTTTGCTGGGATTTTTTTTTGTTGACTTTTAATTTGTTCAACTACAAAAGCAAACCACTTGGGGATTTAGTTTCTAATTCAAGGTACAGTGAAAATCTTTAGTGTTGTCTACTTATAGTAATTTTATGGTGGGTTTCATGGTGGAAGCATATAGTCTGAGGTTTAACAGATATATATTCCTTTCATATTCTTTGCCTATTACAACTTTAAGGTAAGATCTGGGAATGCAAAAACAGATTGATGTCCTTACTGCACTCTCCTTATACCTTGAAAGAACCTCTGTCTTTGGCTGCTTTATTTATGCTACAAAAAGGAAATAGTTCACCCCTAAAACACCTTATCTGGAAATTTCCTTTGATCAATATTACCTTTGCTCTAGTTTGATAGTGGAAGACCCCAACTGGAGACTGCAGAAATTTTGTTGTTTATCTGTCTAATGTTTTGGCAATGGTATGAGGGTTAAGGAGAATTGGTTCACCTTTTCTAACTTGTGATCGCTTTCAAGGAAGGACTGGGAAATTATTATTTTATTGGTTTTGGTGATTTAAAAATGACTGGCAGGATCAAAATATCTTCAGTTTTCGTTGCCATTCCTTTGGATACCTTAGCAGCATGAACCAATATAAAATTAGGTATTTGACAATAAAAAAAAAAAAAGAGTACAGTTAGGAAACATGATAACATTCTGACAACAAAATAGTAACAAAAAGAAGACTTAAATTGAAGTGCTTTCTTGAGAAGTGAAAGGACAATTTGACATTGTGTCATAGATGAAAGAGTTAAAAGGATGAAGTAAGAAAGAATGGCCTCAGTGACATTAAGCCTACAATAATGTTTGTGTGTCAATATTTGGTTGTGCTTGGAGCCAGGGATGTCTTCCTTTTGAAGCCTTTTGCAGGTATTATCATTGACTAGCTTGACTTATTCATAGGAAGCATGTATCTGCTAGTGCTCACCTCATTTGTGATAATCTTTTTCCAGGTTATTGCTCTTTCTTTCTCCCTGTCCTGACATTTTTCACATCCATTCTTTTTCTCCCCCGTTAACATGCATGCTAACCTGTCCAACTAATGAGACTGGACCTTCAGCTGGAAATCTTTGTGGGTTCACTGACTTTCATTATATCTGCTGTCCTACATGTGGGTCCGACGTTTTGCAATTGTTGATGAGATAGTTTGCGGTACCTAGGCATACATATAAACTACTGGATCTTTCACATGGCTTTTTTGTTAATCTCTGGCTTTGGTGATACAGCAATCCGTGGCCTCTACTCTTTGAACAAGCTATTAAATTGTATGTGTAACAACAATTTAGATCTTTAATGCCAGAGTCTCTAGCCATAAACCTTGCTGCATATCAGCTGAAGTTTGTAGGAATTTATCTTGATTTATGTTGTGTTGCTTCTCATATGTCGTTCACTTTAGGGAGTGTTTACTTGATGTTCTTTTTTCCTTGAAGATATCAAAGGCATGGAAGCAGAAGTACAAGCCCTGGAAGAGCTCTCAAAACAGCTGTTTTTGGAAATCTATGAGCTTCGTCAAGCTAAGGTTGTGCTGCTTTTATATGTATTTGTGGTGTCACACTAATCCTTTTCTCGTATAGACTTTCTTCGTCGCTTACTTGATCTAAATTTGTTAATATGCATGATATAATTTTTTTAATTTGACTCTTGTTGTTCAAGGTCCTACCATCTACGCCCCCTTCTACTGCTAAATTATTAAATCATAATTAAGTGCACTAGCTAATAATGAAAAGTGATGTCACCAAGTGTACTTTCTGATAAGTCATAGGTTGTTTGGATGTTTTGGCTGTACGTCTCATGCTAATTTGCTACACCATTTTCCAGGAGGCTGCTGCTTATTCTCGAACATGGAAGGGTCACATGCAGAACCTTTTGGGCTATGCATTGTCGGTGTATTGTGTGTATAAAATGATAAAGGTATGGGAAACTTGAATGTTTGGTAAATGCCAAAGCTCAGAAAATTTTCTTGGTCACACAGATGTTTATGTACTTTCTATCTAGCAAAATTTTATCAAAAGAAGTGATTTTGGTACTTTTTGAGACCAGAAATGATTTTTTTGTAAGAGAAATTTGTGTTTTTCATATAAAATCTGAAGGCTTTTCTTTTCGGGAAGGCAGGCCCCAACTTCTTGAGTTGGTGTAACACTTGTTTTACTATGATTGGGTGCGTAAGTTATGTGGCCTGATTAATTCATTTTATACATGCAGTCCTTGCAAAGTGTTGTCTTCAAGGAGGTAAAGCCTCTCTCTCTCTCTCTCCTGCTATCATCATCATCATCATCATTATTGTTATTTCATAGCTCGTTATCAGCTATGGCTTCCTTCTTGTGCCATTTGGATGTTGATCACTTTCTTGTGACAGGCTGGTTCGATTGATCCTGTGACCTTGACAATCAGCATATTTCTACAGTATTTTGATATAGGTATCAATGCCACATTATTATCTCAGGCAAGTTCATTTTTTGGTTTTTGTTACTCAGTAAATTGTTACCACTGGATGTCAAATCTTTGGTGACATTGAAGTTTCATCATGATTTGTAGTAGGTAGACTATTTTGATATCCATAGGAAAACTCATCAAAAATGAAAACTATGAAAGAACAAGCTCACTTCATGGTATTGGTATCTGATGCAAATAGGGAAGAGAAAGGTTTTATGGAAGTTCTTATGCTTGTGAAATGTGTCTTGAACTTCAAGCAAGTATATATACAAGCGACTTAGTATCCAATGCTTGGCATGGAGCTTTTAGCTTCCTTAAGGAGATTTTCTTATGAAGATCTGAACGACTTTTGTAGAATGTTGGCCTTGTTTTGCTTTGTAGGCTTTTAAACCACAAGATGCTTCCATAATGCCATAAAATTTTCAAAGTACCTAAATTGTCCTAGGAAAGCAGATTAGACTGGATAGCTCCATGAATAAACACGATGTAGTGAAATCTTAAATACTTTGTAACCTATCAAAGAAAACAACTAAGGATACATCTTATTCAACATGGTAATCTAATTTGCGTCTGGTCTTCTCTCAACCTGTCCTGCACTGCATCTATGAACTAGGAATCAACTGAGACACTTGGCAGTTAGCTATTTACAATGGTTCCATGAGCCCTAAGAAATTATTGGTTTCTAAAGCACCTGCCTTGATCTGGTTGGAATCTAGATGGCATTCCTCCTCGACTTTTATGTTTACTCTACACTTTCCTCCAGTAATTCATGAACCAGCTTGAGTCCAAATATATAATGTGTAATAAGTGTGTTAATTCTTTGTGTAGTATCATTTCCTATTATGCAGCAGTTTAAATTTCTAAAAAGGTAAAGGTACTTCTATTATGGCTTCTTCAATTTGGGTTGTTCTAGTTGCTTACTTTTTGAGAAGAAACAGTTTTGTTGGTAGTTAAGTGATACATTTTGGTGCATGACATATTATTGATATAGAAAATGTATTTTTTGGAATTTCGTTTGACTTGACTCGTTAGACTCCCAGAATTGGTATGAGAGATTTTTGTCATCATTTTTATGCATGTGTATGTTCAAGAGCACAAATGTGTAAATAACCAATGACAAAGTGTACACTTTTTCATTGCTTGTGCGTGTGTGTGTTTTTACATCAACCATGCTACATTATTTATTCCTGCCATCTTTCTAATGGACCACTCACTGGGCCTGCCTTTTATTTACAAATTGAATTCTTCTGCAAAAGGCCCTACTAACTTATGCAACACTTTAACTTTGGGAAAAATAGATGCTGGTATAGCAGGTTAACCACTACGAACAAGATCACATGAATCTCCCTTGATTGGGCCATGCTCACAGAAGGAACTAGAAGCTGATTGTCTTATGTTGGTAAACTTGTAACTAACTTGAGTGGGAGATATAGTGGGAACTTGGCTGCAGGAGACTGATGCATTTTTGTTTACCAATAGATATTTATAGATTGTTGTTCTATAGTAGGGTGCATGCTGATAAGGTCAAATATAACGAACTTCACTTTCACATGGACTGCTGTGTGATTCCTGTGCTAGGATTCTGATTGTCTCATCCACTTTGTCTTACGTTTCCTGTTCTCTTTTGTGCAGTACATATCGTTATTGTTCATAGGAATGTTGATCGTAATATCAGTACGGGGATTCCTAACTAACTTGATGAAGGTATTTATAGCATTTCTAGTGATCCTTTTTCTGTTGTGTTTGTAACTATTTACGTTAGAGACATTGCTAATCTTTTCCTTCCCATAAACACAAAGATTCTGAAGAAAGATTTACTTTTAAGAGACAGGAATCCATATAAGCAAATGGAAATTCATATGAATATGAACTAGTCACACAGCTATCCTGATTTTAGCTCATACAATAGGAGGTAAACCCCAAGCACAGTGAAACACTGTGTTGCTTTAAAGTTCTAAATGTTTGTCTCTAGCTATCTCCGGCTTTGGGAGACACTTTAGAATCACTGTATACACATGATGTCTCCATTGACTGTTGTAAGTTGGCTCAACAGAGATGAGAAAGAAGATAAGTAAGACATGAATTCATTGCTTATTGCTAAATACTTGGTTCTACTAGTCGAAATCCTCTGGTTTAAGCTTGTTAGGACAAGCAATAACTTTACATCCTTCATTCTATGAGCACAAGAATTGAACTGCATACGAACACCCACACAAAATGATGGATGCATGACCTTTCAGTAGGGAGGGAAAAGTTTTCACCTTGTTTCCTGGAGTTTGGACATGTGGTATGCTTTTATTCTTTGTTGTGTATCCTCTTGAATATTTAACAAGCTAAAGTGGAGTGAAAATAAAGAGCAGCAATAATATCATCTTTTAATATAGATTTTATGTTGAAAAATATGAAATATAGTTGCTTATCTTAAAGTTTGAAATTCAATGTATTCAGAGAAGGTCTAGTCTTTGGCTTCGTCAGATCGAAATTATTTATTCTTCAATTGACATTTCTTTTATTATCAGGGCCCATTTAGGGTTGTGGTAGCTTATTGAAAAGTACTTCTTCAATAGAGCATTTAATAAAAGTACTTATTTAAGTGTTTAATTGCTTTTAAGTATACTATTTGGAGATATAGTTCAATAAGTACTTATTGTATTGGATAATGTGTGATTTGACAATTTTTAAATGTTTTTATCCCTTTATTAAGTTTATAATATGGGATAAAATGATTAAATTCGATGTTTTATTTTTTAAATCTCAAAAGCTACTCTAAAAGCACTAAATTTGAGCTTTTGCTAAAAGTGCTTTTAACACCCAAAACTCCGCTCCTAATTTATGGGATGATGTTCACCAAACACCTTGAAAGCACTTTTAACATCTAAAAGTACTTTTTCACCAAAAGTACCACAACCCCAAACGGTGCTTGAATACGGCCAATCCATTTTTGTGGGGGAAATTGTAGTTGTGCTTTAACTTCTTAGAGGAGCAATATTGCATAACTTGGTGGGGCCAATGGTGGGCTAATTTGGAAAGAATTAGATTTTTTAGGCTTTTACATGAATTTTTAAAGTTGATGAGGAAAATTGCACCCACTAAACATAACATGGCCCCACATTTCCAGCACATGCAAATACATCCTCCTGACTGTAGTATTTTGTCGTATGCAGTTCTTCTTTGCGGTTTCTAGAGTTGGGAGTGGATCATCAAGCAATGTTGTACTCTTCCTATCAGAAATTATGGGAATGTATTTTGTGTCTTCAATTCTTTTGATAAGAAAAAGCCTTGCAACTGAATACAGGTATGGGTGTTTGATATAGGTATACCCCTTGATATTTGTGTACTGGTGTAGTTAATCATCTGTATCAAGCTCACATCCAGTGAAGACTTGTGATTATTTCATTCCTCATAGTATTTATTTCCTTCATGTTAGTGTATTTCTTTCTTGTTGTCCCTTCTTCCACCTTATGCACTGAACACCAGAGATGGGTATTGCTGCAAAATACTATATTAGATTTGGAAAATTTGGAAAAGGGATATAGGAAGAATTGAAATTCATAAATAGGGTGTAATATTTGGGAAATTGTAAATTGGGTTTGGAAATGGTAAAAAATTTATTTTGTGGACAAAATTACAAAATTATCCTTAGTGCACATACTAGCACTCATTTATGCACATACATCATACATGCACATTTGAGTATACGTATGTGCATATGCGGATGCATATGGTATTCACTAAAGTGCACAATTTTATTCATTAAGGTGCACAATGCAATTCAATAGAGTGCTCATTGTTATGAGGGTAATTTAGTTATTTAGCGATAAATTTATCACCTTTTGTAATTCATAAGTAGTAAACCTTAACAAATTTATCAGCTTTTTTAATCCATGAGCAGTAAACCTTAACCCATTTCCCATTCACAAATTTCCAAAACTTAAACCCTATTTATGAATTTCAAATCTAGCTATTTCCTTTTTCCAAATTTTCCATAATGAACTTCATAGAGTTTTTCAGATCAGAAGGGTACCTTTGGCTTAATATTGGATATAATGCATAGTCTGATGGAGGAATGAAAGTGAAGTACTGTTCACATCTCACTATACACACTGCACGGGCTACAGAGCAGGATTTGGGTTAGTCACGTTAGGAGTTTATTGATAGTATTTCATTTGCCTAGTTGGTTTAGGATTCTGGTATTCTGTAGCATTGTGTGCGTCTGTGTCTGTGTATTTTATTTTATTTTATTCTTTTAGTTTCTTGGTTAATAAGAATTTAAGTTACATTAGATGTACATCTACAAATTTTTGTTGTCATTTCCTTGTTTTCTTTTTACTTGTAATTTGAAATTGGTTGCTTTTAATCAGCTGTCTTGTACTCATGGTTAGAAAAAATTGAACTTAGCATTTGTAACTCATCTTGCTTCCTGAGTTTTTAGACTGTCATTGAAATGCAAAACATATAAGCTTTTTCACCTTTACTCAGTTCGCTCTCTAGATTACAAAATTTTCATTAGAATGAAAACTACACAAGCTCTTTAATGTTTAAAGAATTGATGAAAGATCCTAGTTTTGTTTTCCTATTTTCAAATCATCGTGTAAGAAAGGCGTGTGGTGTTTTTGCTTTTAAATTGAGCCTATAAACTAAATCTTCTTCAACATAAATGTCCAAAGTGTGGTTTTCACCCAACTTATGCAGCTTTATTCTAATATTGATAACCTCTTGTGACAGTGGTGATGAGCCATAGGAGAAAAAATTTTGACATGAGAGCATTGCAGGGGCATACAGTGCTCAATGTAAAATGTTTAAGAGTATCAATACCATGAGCCTTTCTTTGGCTTAATATAAATGTACCGTTGTTTGATGATGAAGTCACTTGAGTACTTAAGAAATGCATCTATCAGATAGTGTTTGTGGCATTTTGATATTTAGCTGATTTTTCTTGGTTGTAGATGTTTCGGTAAAGAACTTAACTTCATGCCCTTACATGATATTCTGTAGTTACTCAATGTCCTACTTCAAACAGCTATTCTTTACCAAAATAGAATGAGAGGAGACATTGTAAAACCAATTCCTTTGTGTCATGTAATGCTCATAAGTGGAGGAATCATATTAAGCTTTCATAAAGCATCCAGCTCTAAAGTTGCTTAAATACCCCAGCAGCTTGTTAAAAACAAGTGGTTCCCTCCAGGCTGGGAGCTGAACTTGAGAGTTGAGGGGTGCAAATTTTATTTTTTAAGGACCTCTTGGGATTTTATACTTACAAGAGATAATTTCTTTGTTAGGTGTTGGAATTTTTACAGAAAATACAGCCTCCCAGCTCAGCACCCCCCTTAGCAGTTCCAAGTGAAAATAAATTCTCAAAAGATTTATGTTTTTTACCTCACACTGCATTGTTCTGCAACTCATGGGTATCAGTCCTGTCCCCACTAAAGCAGGAGCTTTTCTTTTGTTACATGTGTAACTGGGTACTGCTTCATGTATGGTACTTTTAAGTTGCTGCATTGGTTATAACTTAGTAGGCATTTACGTTATTAATACTCAAGTAGGAAGTTTGAGTCATTCATCTTCAGATGCTTTAACCTGAGCTGGTGTCTATTGGCAGGACAATTATTACCGACATTTTGGGTGGTGACATTCAATTTGACTTTTACCACCGGTGGTTCGATGCTATATTTGTGGCCAGCGCATTCCTTTCATTGCTTCTGCTTTCAGCTCATTATACATCTCGTCAGGCTGATAAGCACCCAATTGATTAACGTGCTTCATAGTTAAGTTCTTGAAACTGATTTTGGATCCTTGATGTTGTTTTCATCCACATATTCAGTTGCGTGGTTTTACTTTTCTCTACTGTATGCTTACAAACTTGAGCAGTTCCAGTGGACTATATATTTGGCTGTTGTTTAAGGTGCATCAGTTTAGGTAAAATGCAACTGATCGGTTTTTTGTTTCTCACCTCCGGAACAGGTCTTCTGCAGCTTTTGTGTGGCCGAATCACGAACTCTTGACAATATTTGTACTAGTGGTGCTGTATTTCCCTATTTTCAGAACGGTGCTATTTTCATTGAAATATGTGTGGCTTGCGTTTGAAACTCGGTACTTCCTGAGGCTGCATATCCAACTCCATGAACTGGTATTTTATTTTATTTCAGATTAATGTAATTAGAAGAATATACGGCTATCAACTGCACATACAGAAAATATGTAAAATATGCATTTGTCCAAAAGCAACAAACGTTTTAGTAAGTCTTAAAAGGGAAAACAATCCAGAGGGTTTGGAGGTGAAAGAAAAGCTTGATTTGGATAGATTAGAATATCTCAGATGATACTAGGGATTTTTTGAATTTGACTGGCTACCTACCTTAATGAGAGCACAGTTGAACTTGATTCGAATTTACATGTTTCTAGATAGGGATGGCAATGGGCACCCGCCCCGCGGGGGGCTCTCGGGGCGGGTTGTGGGGCGGGGGTGGGGGGGAATTTTTTCCCCCCGCTTAGAAATGGGGCGGGGGGCGGGGGAGTATACCCCCGCCCCGCCCCCCGCAAAAAAAAAAAAAAATATATATATATATATATATATATATAAATATATATATAATTATATATAATATGTAAGTTAATTAGTTATAAACTTATGATAATGATATTATTAGTTAGATGTATTATATAATGTATATTAGTTTATGTAATATAATTGATATTATCAATTATATGAATAATTCTACATGTCTACTAATAGAATTTATTAATTAGTTATACTAAATTTACTAATACATTTATACTAAATTTCTAATTACACTTAATAGAATAACACTTTTTTCTCAAAAAAAAGCACAAACACAATAATGAATTAGTGATTGCATTTGTACTAAAAGTGAAAACTTGACTATTTTAGTTATATTTATTTCATCATATTGGATTGTATTCAAATAACTTATGTTTGATTGTTTTTATGAGTTTCAATTGTAAAATTACAATGAATAATAATTTGGTGATGTGTTGATATTTTAGTACTTGATTATTTATTAAAATTTAATTATAATAAAATTATATAATAAAATTTTATTAACCCCGCGGGGGCACCCACGGGAGAAGCGGGGCGGGGGCGGGGGGAGCAGGAGGCGGGGGACGGGGGGAACTAATAGGCAACGGGGCGCGGGACGGGGGAGGGGTCCCCCGCCCCGTTGCCATCCCTAGCTAGACAATGCTCGACTCAGGATCAACTGGAGTGGATCCCAATCTTTTTCCTACACATTAATGGAATGGAAGAAAAGCCCGATTTGAATTAGACTCGGGCCTTGTTCTTAGTCAGATTTTTGGAGCAAGTGATCCATCAATCACTCTTCATTATCTCCCATGTATAAAAGTGCCTTCACCCCATCTTCGTCATCTAATAAGTGTGTCAAACTCATGATTTGTTTATATTAGAGCAACTGGAATACATTACGAGTTGTCCTGTGTTAGATCAAGCTCAAGCTGGCAATTTAAATTTATTCACAGTTGTGCCATCATTTCACAAGTGAAGTTAAAATAAACGCCTTTGAATGGAGACGCTAATATGCTGGTCTGCTTGCTGCGTAGAGATTAATTTGCTTTGCGTATTGTATTACCCGCACTATCTACCTCGCCAGCACGGACTGTTTTGGATGCCTTGCTATTTGCTTCAAATGGGGCATTTCTTAAAGAAAGAAAAATAAAAAGAACCTCTGACAAAATTTTGGCAATCAAATAATTTTATGTACATTATTATCGTTAGGAAAAAAAAATAATTTTATGTACATGAAATAGGCTATTTAATTCGGAAAAATTCGTACTTTTGTTCTATGTGTTAGTTTAAATGTCTCCTCGTTGGTTGCAATTGAATTGAGTGAAAAGAGTCAATTTGTTAATGAACAAAAGGTTTGTATTATTGTTCGATGACTTTGGCACTCCACAAGTTTCATCCACTCCGTCTACAGTATTCATTACATTAGAATGACCAAAATACCAATACCCAAAGAGTTTAAACATCGAAAACTCCCAAAAGCATAGCAGACAAACTCCTTGGCTATTTGTTAAGAAAAATCATATATAATCTTGAGTTAAAAAGTGCAAAAACTTAGAAAATAATATTAAATAATTTTAAAAATCATTGAAATAACAGGAGAGGCCCTAGATTTTTTTTTTTTTCTTTTTCAAATTTCTTAGTACGTTGAGAAAAGATTGAGAAATTAAATGAAAAATCAAACACATAGACAACCAATTGGGAAGATAAAAACTATTAGTACTTTTTTTCTTTTTGCTAGAACATGATGTGTAAGTGAAAGTTTTTGTGATTGAAATATTAAGAGGGTGTTTTTGTTCTTTCCAAATCTCCCCACAAATTTTTTTTTTTTTTAAAAAAAGAATTAGTTACTTTTACTCTTGACCACCAAAATCATCGGCATGATTTATTGGTTTTCTTATTATGTGTCCTAAGTTCAATTGATAAGCACACTAAAAAAAAAGGTAGATCATCATAAAATTTTGGATTGAGTGAAAATTTTAGCTTTTTTCTATAGGGAAGAGCTAAACCCACGCCTCTTCATACTGAATGCACACTTTATACATTTATTAGACACTTATGCCCTTAGATTTTAAGTTTATTTGGTGCTTTTTGTAGTTTCAAGACACATATATTTATATAATGAAAAAGAGAAAAAACAAACAAATGGTTATATTGTAAAAGCAAATATTGTCAAACATTTTACAAGGGCTTCAGAATATTTGTTAATTTTAAAATTAATTTAGTAATCCAAAATTTTCCATTACTAATAAGTTTGTAAATAGAAATGTTCACGTAATTCAATTCTATAAAATTAAAATCAAGCAAGTTCCAAGGTGAAATATGCAACTATATTGACTTCATATTGGTATTATACACCATTTGGTTACATGCAAATAGTTTTTTTTTAAAAAAAGACTAGTAGGTCATGAGACGAAAAAAAACATAAATTTTTGGAACAAGAGAATCAAGAAGAGGAATTTCTATATAAGACTTAAATAAATATTTGAATGTGAAATTTTTCCCGTTAAAAAGATGTTAATATTCCCTCTCTTCGTTATATGCAAAGATAATTAAAAACTATAAAAGGTGTTGATTTAATGTATAAAAACTAACGGCATAGTAGGGGTGGGCGTGGGTCGGATACTCGCCTCATCCACCATTTTTGTTGATTTGACCCGCACTTTGCGAGTCAATCATTTTTTGACTCTTACTCGTCCCGCATATCAGCAGATACTCAGTTATAAGGCACCCGCTAAGATAGAATCGAGTCAACTAGTACCCCCTCGCCCCACTTATCATTTAATTTTTTTTTAAAAAAATTATACTAATTTAATTTTGTATTTTACATATTCATCTAAAATTTAATAAAGATTTTTTTTTCAAAAAAAGTTTCTCACCAAGAAACAAGCATGCAAAGAGAATACAAGATAAAGGAAAAAAATTAAAAGAATTCAAAATCAATAAAAGTTTGAAATAAGTAACACATTTTTTTAAATGTATGTTCCATATTAACTAAATTCTTTTCTACAAAGCATAAGATCATGATCTCTACAAATGAATCTTATAAATAAACTATAGTCTCTCATATTTGTAATGCAATTTGTTCAATGAAATTACTTATTTATCTCTAAAAAAATATTATTTTATAATATGTGTATAAAAATATATAAATAAATATATGCGGGGGCGGATCGCGTACCCGTGAGTTTTAATTATATGACCCTAACTTATCCTGCATTTTAGTGGGTATCTAACACTCTTTTGATCCGATCAAATAATACATATCGAGTATCCTAATTTTCGAATCAGATCGGATATGACGGATTTTTGGGTTAGCGGATAATTTTGCCCATTCCTAGGCATAAGTATCTAAGAAGTGTATAGGGTGTGAATTTAGTATGTAGAAATACAGTTTTAACCCCTCCCTTTTTATATATAATGCAAAAATTTTGAGTAAAAAGTTTTCACTATGTGGAAAAAGTAGATTACAAGATGGGAAGGTCACAAGTTGAACAATAAATAAATAAACACTTGTAGGTATAAAAGCCTTCTAGTAAAAAGCTAAGAGGAAAAATACCTACTTACTTCTAGGTAATATTAAATTCTCCACCATGGGTTTTACTTGAGTGAGAGGGATACGGGAGAGTTATTATGGATTCCCTAGTATTTTCCCCTTGTTTGGTACGCAGGAATGACTTGAAAAGAAAAGTCCGTTCTATTTCAGTATTTGATATGGTTGGAAAACCCTTTTTTCTTGAAATGTACATTCTAATTTGTTTCGTGGAATCTTATTCTAGAAAAAACTCTTTTCTCCTTTATCTTAAAATGCCTCAAAAATAGAATGCCAAATTTATCATTATAAATCTTTATACTACATCAAGATATCTTAGGTTATTTGTAAATTCAATTAATGTTTGAATGTAATTTTTTCATAATAAATAATTTTACTTGTAATTAAAATAATTTTTCCTTTTATAATAAAAAACAAATATTTTAAGATACTTTTTTTTTGATTTTTTAATAGTTGTGCAAGAATTTTTAATCTGATATCAAAATTGAAATTTGACTTCATGTAAATTCACATTATATTGCTCAAAAATCCAAATTCAACTTGAAAATCTATGTATTAGAATGAGTCAAGTATTACAATAGAAGAATTTTGTTATCAATCCTCATTTATTTTTAAAATAAAAAAATTTAAATTTCACGTAAATAGACAAATACTATTATAGAACAAATAAAAAAATAGTAAATTATATTATGTCCTATAAACCAAACCATTACAACTTATCCCTCCTTACATTTTGCGTTTTCTGAGAAATGGAATTTAATTTGCTACAGCACCCTTTATAATTATATGAATTACAATTTTCTACCCACAAAAAGACGGACACCCTCACACACACACACACAATACATATATATATATATATATATATATATATATATATATATATAAAATATTATATGTACATACCATGTTGTTTGGGATATAGTATACACGCACTATTTTTACTACCACACAAGATTGAAATTGAAGGAGTGGGTAAACATTTGGAATTGGAGGCTGATTTTTGTGAAGACTTGGAGGCTGATTTTTGGCGAGGTTGCGTAATAGCTCATCTTCTGCTCTCTTCAATCAGCGAGACAAAAGTGTATGCTTTTGTGTGGTGGTGTTGTTGATGCAGCTGGGTCGGTGATGTTTGATCCATCATCATCGTCGTCGTCTTCCTCCTCTTGTTTGTGCCTGTGTCTCTGTGTCGGCG